CATAATGGCTTCCCTTTGCTAGTATCATAATATCAATATGCTTCAATGCAACATGCGTTGCAGCCCACGTGATCTTTAAGGTCACACCTCAGTTTGGGAGATCCCCCAAACACACCCCTTGGGCAAGACTATCGACCCAAAATCGGAGGTGGGTTCCAGGAGGTGAGCTTGGGAGGTGGCAGCAGTCGATGACATGGCCGATGCCCACGAATCAAAGGCAAAGGGGGCCCGGGCGTTACTGACGTCCTCCCTTAAGACAATCCCAACCTGCAGTCAATTATCCTGATCTCCCCTCACTGGGTCGATGAAAGCGACGTAAACAAAATAACCCTCAAAACGGTGGTCCAAAGGGAAACAATATGGTGTCTCTCAAAACAGGTACACCAAAAATGGAGCAACAATGGCATGATGGGGGTTGGGGAGCGGGTCTTTCCGCTTGGTTTCCCGCTAACTGCCAGCTTTAAACAGAGCCCGCCGTCTTAAACCACCATTTTAGTTTCGAGACCCTCACATGCGCCTCAGCACGTTTATGCCCTGAAGAAGCAGCAGGCGCCACTGCCAGCTCCGCCGGTGGCAGAAGCCCAGGATGGAGCACGTGATCAGCGCTCCCAGCAGCAGCGTCCAAACGGAGAGCTGAGCTCCGTCGTCCATGGCGCAGGTTTTTGCGATCGACCCGAGAGGGTCGCCCAGCAAGCGGTACCGGTCGATGTTCAGTCGTGTCTTCAAGGGGACGGCCCAGAAAATGGCGCTATTTTTTCTGGTTGGCCTTTAAAAGCGCCCACAGAAAGTTCAGAAAAGGGTAGCCTCGAAAAAGGACGTACCCAACTTGAGCCCAGGAAAACTGCCAGGGTTGTCCGTGTCCTCCCCAAACCAACAGGAGACTATCAAATCATATTGTCAGTTGCTGAATGTCTGACACAATGATTTGGGATCTTGACGGCTGGGAAATGCATGCGCTGTCTGATCCTCTCATATCCTACGGCTGCAACACTTCGACACATGCTGCCTCTAACCTACATGGCAGTTTTGTAAAGCCACGTGCGGACGGGAACAAGCGTGATGCGACTCGCAGCATGCCTGCATCCTTCCGACGCCACCTTGAATGGTGGCTACAAGCCGCCAAGCTGCAAGAGAAGGAAGGGGTGCCCGGTTTCCCGAAGGCAAGGAACCATCACAGGATGAGGTCGCACAACAGCTGCCTGGTGGCCATGGGAAGGAAAAGGGGCATCCGTTTTTGGTGGGTCGACTGTACAGGGACCCCCTGCCAACAAAAAGAAAAAAAGAAACACGTGCACCACTGGGCGCCTGGGTATTGAAAACCCGCAGGTGCAGCGTGCCGCAAGCCGCAAGCGCCCCCCGTCCCCTGGAGCACGCACGCCTGGGTGTGCTGCCGCTGGCGGGCTGCACATTCCCATTCCTGGCTGGAGCTGCTCCATTGGTGAGCTCGAGGTGAAGCAGCTCGCACTCCTGTCGAATAGGGAGCTGGACGTGGCCGAAGGGATGTTCCATAGAGCTCCGTCTATTTTAGGGGACCGCCCCAAAAATGTGGCTTTCATGTTGGTTTCCCTTCAAAACACACGAAAAAGGGGTGAGTACCCTCCAAAAAAACAGACCCATATTGACCATATGAAGCGCTGAGCCCCATTTGGGATTTCGAGGGTTCCATGGGGAACCCAAGCAGTTCGAGGGTGCCACTGCGACGTGCTTGAATGTCTTTTGAGAGAGAGAACATGAAGTGCTTTGAATACTATGACGCTGCTCCAAACATGATCGATTTGATCTGAAGCTGCAATCACGAGCAAAAATGGGAACTACCACGCGAAGCTTCAGCTAAGGGATACTTAACATTGCCGTGGAAGAGGAACAGTCTACATTTGCGAGGCTCTGCAAAATGACTTCTCCTGAGAACTGCCCTTCCCCCGCCCTTCAACATTGTCTTCGTGCTTCAAGCGCCAATGGAGCGGTTTAGTCGAATCTTAGAGACCCACCAGTGAAAACTGATCCATGTCATGAACCTTGTGAAGAAACGTGATCTTCCCTCATGCATGCTTCTAGCACATTCCTGAACATATTCAGCGTCACCTGGCAATCCAATTTCGCTTGAGCATCTAATTGTTGTTGTCTTCTTTGGTGCGTGACTCTCAAACACGGCAGCTTCACAACTTAGCTCCGCGAAAACCAACCATCCGGGTTCCATCTTTTGATGCACCCAAGGGGCTCCACCCTACGGTTGATCTCACCACCTTTGAAAAAACTGGGTTGATTAACATGATTAACCGATTAACCCAAGGGCTGCAACCTACGGTTGGCTCGTTCAGTTGCTCGGCAGCCGGCTCGGACCTCTTGGCCTCTTCGGAGAGCCCCAGGCGCAAACTGCGCCTCGGCGCAAAATCGCGTTCCAGGCCTCCATGGTGAGCTGCAGCACAGCGAAGCCCCGCTCCAGCGAAGGGTCCCAAAACTGCGCGCTGCGCTGCCTGAGACTTCGAGGCGAAAAAAAATGCGCGCGGCTTAAAACAGAGTGCGAACAACTCGGTTGCTTTCTGCTCCCCTGCTAAAAGTTTGACTTTTGGTGGTTTAATGGAAAACCGTCTGTGCGCCTCTCCGTTGGTGGAACGTGCAAGCTGTCTTGCCCAAAAGCAAGTGTTCTCAACAGGGGTGACTGGGGTGGTTGGGGGAGACAATCCAAAAGCACGATTGACCCCCCAAAACACAAAGCTGACAAGTGACGAACAAGGTGACTCCAGTGGTTGCCTCTGCTGGCTCACTTGCAACTTCAAGCAAAAAGCGAAAGGGAAATCTACTTTTCCCACAAGCTCGGCACCTTGGGCTGGGCCAGGTGGAAACAAATGACCAGATATGTCCAGTAGTGAAATTCATTGCCTTTAAAGCCAAGAGGGGGAAATAAAGGAGCTTCGTTTCAGCCAATGGAAGTTGCCCAACCCTTGTAGCCATCAAAGAAGTGGGTGCATTCCTCGAGGGATGATTCTCTTGTAAATACCTACAAACAATGGTTTCCCATGGTTGCCAAGTGGAGCAGGATTCTGTCCACCCACAGTATTGTGTAACACAGGGGGTCTTTTTGCCACCTTTTTTGAGAAAATGGGCGAACCCCTCAAAAGGAATCCTTCACTACGAGGGGGTCGATATTTTTTCCACAAAAGCTGGCAAAAAGACCCCCTTGATTGTGTAGCCTGTCTTCGGAGCCTCTCTTGGCCTTTTCATTGTTTCCCATTGAACAGTTTTGTTTCATATGGGTGTCTTTCTTTGGGGACACGACCAAATGGTGATGTTCCTTTCAGCTTCCCCTTCAGACCGTCAAAAAAGCGGTTTCCTCAAAACTATACACATCCATAACATGTCGTACGAAGAAATCAAGCCAAGGGTTTGAGTGGCCAAAGGTCACGCCTCCGGGCCTCACCCACGAATAGAAATTGATATCCCAGGGAAGTCTCGTAGCCCTCTGCCAAAGGAGAACGATTGCGAGATGTTTCATGGCGCAGTAAATCATCCCTTTCCAAGAAAGCAATCTGCGGCTAAGTCTTGGCAGGCTTGAAGGCGGCATCAAGGAAACTTCTGTGCATCAAGGAAACTTCTGTATGGGCGCCAATGCACAACACTAAACTTGATAAAACCAAAGGAATTTGCCGTTGCGTTGAACATAGATACATGATACATGACATCTTCTTGTTTGAGTTTGCCTTCATCAGTTGCACACATGCGAAGCACTTACTACCTTACACGCAGCAACCCTGCAACACAGCTTGTGCCCCTCGATTGGCATTGACCTTTGACCTATAAACCCACGTCACGCAACACAAATGCACAACGGCCGCCCGCCCTTGGGGTTTCGGACGTAGGAAAATGCTCAGCTTCCCTCTAGTCGGTGGTTTGGATTGCTGGTTTAGTGGTTGAGGAGGGGTTTACCATTCTGGCCATGGGTCAACACCCCATACCCCCAGTGAACATCAACCAATCCCCGCTAAAATCGACTAAAATGGGTGGTGAATTCACCTACCCCAGATTGGAAATTACCAGTTGTTTTGAGCCATGGCCATAGACCTTCTACAACCAGGGCTTCAAATCAACCTCCGAGCTCCAAACCACCACAGGCTGAGCTCCGGGCGCAGTCTCTGCGCGCGCCTCCGCAATCACATCCTGGCGCGGGGGGGTCCAACAGATTTCCTGTTCCGTGAACGTCGCCCCAAAAAGGAAGCTCACTTGAGTCATCATCAAACCCACGTGCTAAAATGCTGAACCCAGAACCACGCTTCAAGAATTAAGGCGGATATCCGCAGCTATTTATGGCCTGGATTGGCCCTTGTTAACCTTCATCTACTCGGGTTTTGATTGTGGCTCACTTTAAGTTGGGCCAGGTGATGTTTAAAACCAACCTAAGAGGACATATTAGGATGGGCATGCACCAGAGAATACGAAGCGATCAACTGATGCATGTGGTTTTTCAAAGGTTCCAGAGTTGTAGCCTCATAGCTCAAATGGCATTGCCACTTAAAAGATGTTTCCTGCCTCAGCGTGTGAAAGTCTGCTGCCCTCCCCCCCCCCCCCCGCTGTGTCGTTCATTCATGATGAATAGCCGCCAGCCATTCCTTTTTTGCACGATCGCCTGAGCTCGATTTCAAGGCCTTGGTAGCTTTCTACATCATCCTAATCGCAAGAACTGTCGGAGCAGTCACTAGACCTCGCAGAAAAAAAAGAGAAGAAGAACTAAACAACCCAAGCAAAACTAAGCACGGGAAGCAAACCTGGGCACAGGCAACTTGCCCTCAGGGGGGGAAACAAAAACAAGCAACCCTTAGCAAAACTGAGCAAAAGCCAAGCAAAAGCCAAGCAAAAAGCCAAGCGAAACAACCAACTAAAGACGAAACCTCCTGCAAACCACGGCGTGTGCAAAGTAGTTCAAGGAAGTTCTCGGCGAAAAGCCGGGTCCTTCAGCTCGAACTGGGTGCTGAGCCGTGCCTCGTCCAGCGCCACCTGGACGCAAAAAGAAAGGACGGAGACGCCGGTCCTAGTGGCTGTGGTCAAAAGTCGGGTAACCCCAAAATGGGCTGCCCCAAGTGGCAACATAGACCAAAAAGCCTGCGGTCCATTTCCTGGCGGTGATTTTGTTTGACCTCCACCCAAATGAGGGTGTGGAAAAAAAACACTCCTCTGGGAGTTTCAAAGGGGAATCCCCAAAGGAAACGAGCCCTTTTTTCTTGGCGGGTTGTGTTGACAAACCACAGGGAAAGCCTGGAGGCTCATTTGGAGAGGCATACGGGTCATGCTAGAAAAATTCGATGCCGAACTGTTTGCAATGACCGAAGTGGACACGCGGGCCAGTTGTGTATGATGTGGTCCTCCAAATGTCCAAACATCGCCTGCACTTCCATGATTAAAGACGTTGTTTGGAGGGAAGGGCCCTTTAGACATCATTTACATGCGGAATTCCAAATGCTTGAGGGTGTGCTCAAAGGAAAGGTCATGGCCTGCAAGGTAAAGCCAACCGTTGGCTGAGACTTACTTGGTGTCAATCCAAAGGCATCGAAAGATGGCCGACAAACAACTGATGGATTATATTCCTATGAAAACGATTGATTTGTGAAGGTGTTTTGTTCAGCTGAAGTTTGAGAAAGGACGCTCGGCATCCCTTCACA